CTAGATCTCAGTGCTGAACTTGAAGAAGGTAAATGGAGCAAGCTCAAAAAGAGAAGAGCAGCACTTCACACCTTTTAGCACCTCTCAAGCAACCTCACAAAGTGTTGAAAAGGAAAATTGAAAGCATAGGTTGTGAGGCTGTTACAGAGGAAACTGGTTCTGTTCTCCCACCTAATCGGGAGACTGCTGTTGTTGATTCTGCACCAATTAAAGAGCTAGATCTTCCTATATTTGTTGATGGCTCTGTTGCAACCGTAGATCTTGAAAATTTTATGCAACAATTGTCAACACTCAATGGCGCATTTCCGACAAAATGAATAGCATTGATTTCACTTATGGAGCTAATCACGTTTTTGATGATGACGATCAATTGATCGACCACGTTAAGACATGTAAGAGCTTGGAAGATCTTTATAACTTTCTTCAAGGGAACTGTGGGAAGAAGCCAAACAATGACCTTCCTTAATATTTTCTTGTAAAAAACACAAATGAATTATGGATGGATTGAATCATGGTGCTTCTATTCCTATATATATTTGTTTTGAAAGCATTCTTGGTTTAGATGAATTCTCTGAAAAACAAGGAAAGTTAAGCCAAATTAAGCATGAAATCAAACCTTATGGCAAAAAATGGACAAAAAAATCTCAATCATTATTAACTTTCTATATGAGTATAGATTTGCTTAGCTGTTGCAGAATCCAATTAAATTTAGGTGCATTGAATAATATTTGAGAAATGATATGATAAAGATTTAAACTTTGATATTTTACTAATTAAGGATCTTAACTTTTTTCATTACTTATTAAGTATGTCAACTTTCCTAATGTATTAAAAGTCTTTTTAATATATGCCCTAATGACATAAGTTAGAACTTAGAAGTACATTTATTACATCTTTTTACGATTAATTTATATAGAAAATTATAAAAGTAAACTTTATTTTCAACATTAATATCATTTGAAACAATTTAATTGGACAGATAATAAAATTTAAGTCTATTTTTATTTTTTTTCATGCAAATTAATGATGAAAATAATGTATAATAATTACACTTTAAACTTGTGTCCATAGGCACACATTAAAAAATTTCATGTATTAATAAAGGATTTCAACTTTGTAAAATTTACTAACCAAGGATAAAATGAATGGTCTGCTGACATGGCCATTTAACATCATTCGTGGACTCATAATAAACGTTGACATGGAAAAAATACCAAAATGAAGGGCTGATATGGACACTAATAAATAATGATGCGGACAACATTCAAATAAAAATTAAAGTCAGCTTTATCAATAAATTAAAAATAATTAAAATTAAACCCAAAATTCTTGATCTTCTTCCTCATTTTTTTCCTTCCTCATTAAGTTAGGAAACTTGATTAGTAAATCAGAAAAGTTTCCATCCTCATTTAGTAATGAGAAAAAATTAGAATGCTTAATCTTTTAAGTAATTAGAAAATTAACAACACTAGAATAATAAGAAAATGCCCAATTACACCAGATCAATATATTGTCTTATTTTAAAAATAATATTAAATCATGTAATTATTACATTGCTTATTATTATTACTCACTTTGTTAATTTTTAATGAATCCATTTTAACTTTTTAATTTTAAATAAAAATTTAACGATGTATATGAATAACAATTGAAAATTTTTTATATATATAATTGTTGTTAA